TAAAACCATCGATCTCCTCTTGGTCAGCTCCATTTCACCGGAACAGACATTGGGAGACGGCCCTCCCACGCTTCCATATTGGCCACACCCGGCTAACACATGTCTATCTAATGTCACGCTCTGACCCGCCCTTATGTCCCCTATGTATAATGTCCCTCTTTCAGTTCCACACATTCTGTTGCCCTTCCCACGCTTTACTACAGCCCGCACCTCTGCTCTCCCCCACCTATCCTTCCTTCACCAACCTCCCAACATAACAGACATCCTTGCAGAATCCCACAGCTTCTGCCTTGACAACCTGTTCTCCTTCCTCAGATGCAGAAATATCCTTCACTTGATCTAATTCCCTAACCTAAACCACCTTAACTCATTCTCTCATCACCTCCCTTACTCATCTTTAACCTTTCAATATTACTCTAGATAGTTGATGCATGGCACATATCACCTGCCATCACCCTTCACTATACCTTCCTATAGTGCTATGACCTTAGATGTCTAGCACATTTATTTCGTTTTCAACCATTAACCATTAGCCAACAAATCCACCTAACCAAACAGTACAAATTGCTAGGACTAGGCGTGTCCTTCGGAAGAACATGAACATTTCTTCCCCTCGGTATTTACAGCAAGATTGCGTTCACACCGTAAAATAAATGAACCAGATACCTTTATATCTGGAAACGCCAACTTTGGTTCGCTTCTTTCTACTGTCTGGATTGCTTCGTTTTATTTTTTTTCGGCAATTAGGGAATTAGATGGGCTCAGATATCAAACTGGAATGGTTACTAAAGTCTCTTTCTTCTTCGTTGTCACTGTATAGTCTTAAAAAGAACCCAGAATCGACACAACACTTGATACAAGAAATTTCTCACCGGCCTTCTGCCACTGAATGGCCGGAATTGACCTGTCAAACCTGGTGGCTGGCACCTGAAAATGCTCTTTCACTGAAGATTATTGTAAAGAACAGTATAGATAAATCTGAAAACAAGTAAAAGAAGTATATTAATATTGATAAAAGACGTTAAAAGCTTAAATGTGTAACTACATTCACTGATAATCATCAAAATATAATTTTGGCAAGCACGTAGTAACACACACTACTTGGGATATTGCAGTAGTGAGATATGCAGTCAGTGTGGTGATTTTACTCGCAAGGTAAACAAGATGAGCGACTTGGACTCTGAGTGGTAATATGCAGGAGATATTTTCGTCATTTAGTGGTGAAGATGAGGCAACTGCAGCTTAAACTATGCTGTTTCTGACTATTTCTGACGCTCTATAAGATGTTGGTGTCTTATTTCCCTGTATCTCCGTGCATTGGTCTCGGTAACCTATACTATTTTGGCAAAAGTGGAGCTCTCACTCACTCGGTATTTTGCCCACTTCACTAACTTCCCCACATTGCAATTTACCTTGCAAATATCGTGAAGATTGACATGTATGGTATTGTGACCGATGGATATATTTACAAAGACCAAAATGCGTTTCCTCGACCTGCGATTACACTGACCTGTTTCTGCAGGGACCACATTTAACACCATTTAAAATGTTTGTTAATCATTCGCTTCAAAAGCACTGGGATCATGATATTGTTATCAAATGCACTGGCATGTCTAAATCAAATTGCATAGATGGGAGTTTTCGTTCTGAAGTTGCCCAAAACTGGTTACAAAATCAAAATTCAATAGGTTGCTAGGCAGCGATCGCAATGCAGACATGATCATACTCCGCAATAGAGAACGTATTAAACGTATTAACTAGGGACCATTATCTGTAGTAACGGGTGGGCTGCCCACCGCAGTTTAAAAGATCGTGGATACGAGCACCTAGTCACTAATTCAGAAAACTTTGTAGACCCACTTCCCACATATCTACACGCAGAACATCGAGAGGGTGCGGCGGGATATGGAGTGGCCAAAAGTCCTGGTATCCGTACATAAATCGGCATCTGTCGCGGTACCTCTTTATTACCGCTTCTGATACCCCACTTCACAATTTTTTAACAAGGCTCTACCCTCTCCAAGCTGAGAACACGAGTGGGTTTCCCTGCCTGCTCTAATTCCTCGAGGAGAAGACAGCTGTTTTGAGAGCGATTTTAAAAAAACGGGGAAGTTGTTACTAAACCTTAGTCGCTGGTAAACAAAACATTCATTTTATGATTTCCAATGAATTGATATCGATTAGAAAAATGTATTAAATATTTCCGTTAACACATTTGATTTAGATATCTAATCATTAAATATTAGTAATGTTCCACGTTGAATTATACAATTTATTTGTTGTATGAAACAAATTGATATTTGTATTTTGTATAATGGGCAGTTGTTAGCTATTTCCGCATTACTAACTACTAATACTAACCAGTGAAAACTGAAAATGACGTCAGTATTTTCTGACCAATCGGAACATTTTTATGGGCGCTTGCACAGCTTTCCAAAACAAAGTTCAGTGTGTCTGCCTGCTGTCAAAGAATATATCACATTTTACCCTGCAACTTTCCTAGTACCTTCCATGCCCTCACGTGGTATCGGGGTCAAGAATATGGGAAGTTTGATGGGGGTCTGCTGCTAAATTCCCATATGTACACTAGGTGAAAGGAAGCCATCCATACCAAAATCACGGCAATCGGTCATGCAAAGGTATTCCAAACAATTAACTTTTACTTTGTTTTATTTTAAATCATGTTTGTCAGTTTTGTTGATTTTTTTCCTATTAGGGTTTGTATTACTTTCATCCTGCAGTTCTTAATATTGTTTCATATAATTTTTTTTCTGTCAGTGATCTTGTTGGGTACTTATCCGTCATTATTTTTCTCAGGTACTGCTTGCCTTATATTAGCCAAAACCCGTGCATGACGCCCAGTTTGAGTATACAATCAGACACCTCGCCGCCCTGCCTTACAGCCTCTCAATTGCACTACCCAGATGGCGATACTTAAGATGGACAAGCCCGAACCCCCACATTAGGGGTAAAGTGCTTCCATCCTCACAGAGCGATCACCAACACAGGGGCCGAGTTTTATGCCTGACCCACAGGAGGTACCTGCGCCGGGGCCAGATCCAGTCAGCCTACGAAAGCACCAAGATGAGGTAGCGGAAGGTTTGCAGTCCTTATTTTAGCTGGCCAAACTTGCAATAATCTCTGGACAAATTTGAAGCACATTATCCCACATAGCAGAAACGGAAGCAGAAGTCAACTCCACCCAACAAACTGTGGTGCCCTAGCAGAGTGCCCTTATTTCCTGAAAATCTTCACCATCACCTCTTCTGGAGCTTCCTCCTCGCGCCAACCTTCCTGTTGGTGCTAATGTTCATCCCCCTGCATTCCGTGTTGAGACTCCTGCAATCCATCAGCCTGCAGAGTGACCAGGAGACTAGCCCCATGACATCGGGGATATTGGAGGATTTATTGCTGGACTCCCTGGCTGGTTGTAACGACAGCACCTCGGCTACATTACAAGGATGGCTGGGAAGTGCCAAGCAGCCTCGAATACGACAGTGAGGGTCCATCAGTTCCCTCCTGGATATACACATGACACCTTTTTGTAACTGCTGTTCCCAGGTCCCCCACCAACCCTTGATCCCGTCCCACCCCCCGGTTTCTTCCCCTCTTACTTCGAGACACATTTTTTCCCCCCATATGTTGTACCTCCTTTTCAAGCTAGTCCCTTGCACAGCTTTTTTTTTGTGCCTCTATTTACTTCTCACTTTCCCACCCCATCGACTTTGTTGCCTTTGAAACTTTCCCGCTGGCATACTTTTATCTCTATTATTTTCCCACCATCCTTCTCTTCCACTTCAGATGTGCTGTTTTTCATGGTTCCTGTTCTGAGTGCTACCTTTAAAGCCATATTCCTAGCCTCTACACAATACCTCTAAATGTGGTCCATGGTGGAACTTAATGAAAAGTGTCCATCTGTTTCCACCACACAATCCGTAACTGCATTACAATCCATTGCCATAACTGTTTCCTCTATATATATATATCTATATTTCTTTCTGCTGTCTGGCGGCGTATCCATAAACTGACAGGAAACTATCCCCTTATCCTGCCTCCTTCCTCCATACATCTACAAGTCATTACTGTACTTGGTGCATATTTCAGCTAGATCAGTAGTTCTTTCTCACCACAAAGCCTCCATCAAGACCGCATTCCCATCCCCTTGTCCTTTACACAAAACTCCTGACCGTATTCATTACCATATGCTGACACCTCTTGTCTTACTCTGTCCTTCCTCAACCATATCTGGACAGGAAATTTTCCTTCTCTTTGGCATAAATCCCTCGTTCTCCCCTTCTTGAAACCCAATAAATCTGGTGCTTTCCCTCAAGATTACCGCCCCATTGCTCTAACTAACTGCGTGTGCTAACTACTTGAACTGATGGTTAACTTATATTTAATGTGGCATCTTGGCATCTTTGAAAATTCCTTCAGATTCATTGCTCTCCGATCGCGCACCCCATGTCAAAATCACCTCTTTATCAACTTATCCACAGTTCGAAAGTGTCCCTCAAGGCTGTGTGTTCAGCACCTTCTTCCACTTTGCTGTTATAGTTCGTTCGACCTCCAGTTTGTCACTCCTGTATGTGGACGAATTAACCTTTACCTCGCCCGTCCATAATAGCTCTCTACCAGCTCTGTAATATCACTAATATCTTGGGCCACTAATCACAGCTTTTGATTTTCTACCTCCAATTCTTTCTCCATCCTTTTTTCTTACTCACTTGTAGATACTTAACCTCCTTTCTCCTTATGCGGTGCCCTGCTCCAATACCATCCCATTGGAAAGTCCTTTGTGTTCTTTTAGACTCCAAACTGTTATTTGTGTATTTTATTATTTGTGTATTTTATTACTTTTATAATAAACTTGTTCAAGTGGAGCTACTTTTTATCATTAATGATTGACAGGCTTAACACAGAAGCCAGCCAGCCAGCCTCACCACGAATGTCAGACAAGAACATAAAAACATTTTATAAATTGCAAGGACAGAGACTACACATTTTGTGTATACACTTTTATTAGGAAATCATCAGAGAAACTGAAATAAAAATATATATACATTTTCACATTTGAAAAAAATCAAATACAGATGACAGATGATGACTCGCTAAAAAGAGTCTATAAATATATATATGGAAATGGCGTGAAAAAATAAGAAAAAAATGCTCTTTGTTAAAACGGCATCTTTGTTTATAACAAAGAATCAAACTTTCCGAAGTACTCAAATTTCTCTCAAACATAAACGTAAGTGATTTTCCAGTCTTTTTCATAAGAATATAAATGAATTGGCTGACAGGATTTTTGTTATGCAGTAAAATATCTTAATATGGTATTCCCACTATCTCTATTTCTAATGAAACCACACATTACGCAAAAACTCCTTGATGACTCCTCTCAGAAAAAGAAAGCATACTTTCCAAATTTCCCACACAAATATATGGACAAATTCACGATAGTAAAACACCCTCAAAAATATATCACATTGTGTATATATATATAGTAAGAAATGCAACCACACTAACAAGTTTTCCATATGCTCCTCTAAGGCACTAGGCATTGACAGTGTGTAGGAAACAAATACATGTATGTATATAAATTTAAACATACGTATACACACAAATAGGCACTGGATACTTAGTGCACTGGATACTTAGTACGCTGGATGGAAAGCTTTTAAATAAATGCAATATTAATATTTTAACAGCCCACTTTTTCCCTTTCTTCTCCATATAGCATTTATATTTTACCTATTGCAAGATGTCACTCGTTGAGCAAATACTATACATAAGAAGTTGTAATGAACCATATTTCACAGTTATGGTAAGAATAAATACAAAACTCATTGCAGAAAATGTCAATATTGGATATGCAAACTTGATCCCCTGAATAACTCGTCAAACCAATCACTCAATTTAAAACATTACAAGCCAGAACTCCTTATCACAAGAACAAAAGTAATCAAAAAAATCAGAAAAACATTATTCCTTGTCTTTATCCTGTTTCCATTGTTTATTTACCCCCATTACTTGATAAATGCACAATTCATAAATTGACCGAGGCATTATTCACACTCAAGTCTTTCAGTTATTTCTTAGAAACCTAACAAGAGGAGGGGGAAGCGAAATGGGAATGAAGAAAACGTAATGTATGTTAACATGACATTAATCAGAGGAAAATATGGGAAAATATTCTAAAAAGCTGTAAAATGACAATTAAGGTGAAAAGCAAAAATGAGAAAAATTAAGGATAGACAGGTAAATTGAGGGGAAAAGGTGGAAAGATGAAAATAGAGAGAAACAGTAAGAAAACGGAAAAATACATAAGAGAAGAATCAATGAGAACGACCAAATTCTTTAAAAGAAATTAGAGGATTGAAAAAATAAAAAGGACAGACAGAAAAAAAGAATTAAGATCAAAGGGCCAAACCAAGTAAAAATTGTGAAACCAAGAACAGCAATGATATGGCCAATATTCAATCTGTAATCCGAATCTCTTATCCCAAATACACATTTTTGTCAATATAATGACTGAAAAGATGTAAAATTTACAATTTATAGCACAGCTTATTGGGAAGAAATGACAACAGTGCAGATAAGAAACTTGAAACTTGATTTTACCACTCAAATGTGTGGAAATAAAATATTACCATTATAAAAAATGATAATGATAATAAAAGAAAAATGATAAAACTACAATAAGTATTTTTTCTTTTCTGCCCTCCATATCATTAACTCCTCTCTCCCCAATACCAGTAGTGGCGTGAATGTCACTGAAGACAAACCGTAAGTGAAGATGCGTTACTCATCTCAAAAACTGTATGAATAGAAAATGGTTGTACTGCTGCCTATAGACTCCATCTTATTACTACTTAATGAAAAAATAGATGTATAAGACTCTAAACTTACAAGTGAAGCTTATAGTTCCTCACATAGAGGACTTGGCATCTTCAGTATTCAGAAAGTATTTGACTAATGAAATACTTTAACTATAATCATATACACTTCTCTACTACATCATTCTATTACACAAGTCAATTTATATTAATTGAGTCTTTCCTATTACACAAGTCAATTTATATTAATTGAGTCTTCCCTAAAATCTGGTTCAAATAGCTGAAATACACAAGATGGGTTTCGAAGTTTAGAAATCTTGTAAAGAATACTGACTTTATATTCCATATCAAAAACAAATTTTCTTTCTTTCTAGATGACTCGTCCCCCTCCCATCCCATCCCACATTATCATTTACATAAAATATTTGGAAGAAAAATGACAGGACATCACTCTCTCATGTAGAGGAAAGTGAAGTTGGGGAGGACCATTACCTATCTTGTATATTGCAAAATACAAAACATCCAGTCACCCCATTTCATCGGCAGGAACTCTTGTATCTGGACAACACACTTTTAAAACTAAAATAAACACTACCATAAAACTAATACAAACATCTATAACAGGAATGTTCAGCATGATATGAAATGGAAATAAATCTCCCTTTTCTGTCTTGCAATGGAGACACTTTCCGCAGACTTCCCCCTATTGTGATATGTAACATAGATTTCATAGGTTGCAGTGACCACAAAGGCACCATACACAGCAAATAAAAGATATGTATATCAGTGTACAACTATAGATGTGTTTATAACTATAAATGTGTGTGAGTGTGTGTGTGAGTGAGTGTGAGTGTACGTGTGCGTATGGGTGCGTTGGCATGCATGTGTTTGTGTGTGCAGGTGTAAATAACTAATATCTTAACACAGCATTTACTAATCAAACAATAAACCAGGATAATATATACAAACAATCACTATCTGCTTGATTCCCTTACAACATGACCCTTATGCAGTAGATTAAGAATTCCTACCATAAGGCACAGACATAGACAAAGATAAGCAGACACAAACACATGCATACACAGATGTCTACACATAGGCTCTTGTACACACTGACACACACATGCACACACTCCCACACTTGGAAAGCTAAAGGCTTGTCTAACCTCGAGTTTATTCTTAGAACAAAAACCTCGTTCCTTTGTTTCCCTTTTCAACCTCTGCTAATCTGTTGCAACATTCATAGTTCTTTATTTACATCAATCCATGTTTCACTCACACTGCTTCACTCCTAGTAATGAGTACTTATATAAGCCCCTGTATCAGAATACCTTCATTATCATTTTTGAACACTCCTTTCTCTAATAACTCGCTAATAGATCGATCCCCATTATATATACCCTTACCACCATGCTTATTAACCTGTCTATTTTCTTAACAAATTCCAAAAGAAGCTGCGGTTATAACATATCACATAGGATGAGAAACTTAAACCAATCCCTGACGTTTATGTTCATGTTTTTGTTCTTGTTATCAATCCCAGATTAATCATGTTGATAAATGATTGATAAGATTTTCACTTCTTAATCCTATCAAAAATGATGCACTGGGTTTCCTTTAGTATTAAATATTTTTTCATTGGATATAAAACTTCGAAATATTTCTTACACAATATGAGGACTGATATTTCATATCAGACTCATTTCTTCACCATAACTACACTAAAAAATCAACTTGTAGTTTCTCAAGAATTAATTACCCACAAATCAAAAAACAACTCTCCACTTTCCCTCTTCACACGAAAAAGCCTTTAGGTCAAAATCAGGAAAAGAAAAAGGTTCCTTCATGGAGAAAAATCAAGGAAAAAATTTGCCTTTTAAGTCCTACGTCTGCCCTGATTTTCAAAGGAGCCCCCTGCCCCTCCGGAGGTCTATACACGCCGCTGAGAATGAATACATACACATACAGAACCCCGTCACCATAAGGCCCAATATTCCTTATCGTAAATTGCTGCATCACGAAGGTAACAATATGTCTAACGTCATTATAAACTTTTTCCACTGTACAATATAAGCTATGAAATCATACAGTCCATTTATGCTATAACTCATACAAAGTATAACAGTTCTTTTAATTTCTGTCAGTTTGATGCATATAAAACTTTCCATCATAATCATCATGATTCATATTTTTTACTATTAATCACTCTGACAAATAAAAAATAATAATAAACATTCCCCCATATTGTTACTCTTGGCATAACAAGATGTGGAAAATCAATACTTATATAACATTGCATTTTAACCTCAAAAAATCTTAACATCTAAATCACTCTTATTTCCTTATATCATAAGGAGTAAATCCAAACATCAAAACAACGAAAGAAAAAGAAAAGAGATTAAACAAATCTACAAAACATCAAGAAAATCAAAAACTCTTCACGAAACACTAACTCCAAATCGAAGCCCGTCCCACCCTACCTCGCCCCCCTCACCCATCCCAGAATACCCCCCATCCCATCACCACCCAACCCTGGCCTAAAAATCGCCTTCCTTAAATAACGCAGCTTTTCCGATACCCGAACATGGTCTTATACTCCGGCAGGATCTTCGTGCGGATGGCCGTGTTCTGCTTGGCCACAACGCGGTCCCGGGAGGGGTCCTTGTGCAGCTTCTTGATCCCTGGACGGTGGACCAAGAAGGCGTTGTCCATGATGTGGAACTCGTAGTCGCGGACACATAGAATGTACATCTGCGGGAATAAGGAGTGATGTAGGATTTTGTGCTATAGTTACGGCACTGGATATCTAAAAACAAGAGAGGGAAGTAGGGATGTCAGCCTATGGCGGATTTATGGTATTAAACGGATTTGAAAGAGAGCAGGTCTGGAGAAATAAAAAGGGAGAGCGATTTTTCTTACTTCCAAATTAGTAGATTTCATATCTGCAAACAAATTATTCATGATTTTATGGCACATTAATGCTACGGTACAGCTGTGAATAAAGTCTGACGGGGATTAATCATTTTACCGCATATTTGAAGGCATTCAGTTCTTCCATCACCTTAAAATCTAATTAATGCTTACTTACATATTTTTATGAGATCATTTAACTTTAATTTCATGGAAGGGAGGTTAGAGATCTACAGAATAAATCAAGTAATGCTAGAGTGCATTTTGAGTGAGCTTTTGTTTGAGGCTGTGAATGTGATTGCATTGGGAGTAAGTGAGCGTGTGAAAGCGAGAGCAGTGGGATTGCATGAGAGTTTGAAATGTCTGAATTATGGGAGTGTGTATGTATGTGAATGTGCACGTGAGTGTGAATGCATTGGGAGTGTGCAAGAGAATATATTAATAAAATTCACACCCAAAAATAATCCTTACCACACTTCGGTAAATATTGAACAGTCGAACTACACATGCCAGAACACACGCACACACATGGACAGGAATGTGATAGCACAGATGCACACAAAATTACCTTCCTTCCTTCCTTTTCCTTTCTCTTTTTTCTTCTCTATCTCCCTTTCTCTTAATCTTAATCTTAATCTTAATCTCAATCTCTCTCTCTTTCCCTACTCTTTCTCTCCATCTCCAGCTCTCTCTGTCCCTCTCTTTCTCTCCATCTCCAGCTCTCTCTTTCCCTCTCTTTCTCTACATCTCCAGCTCTCTCTTTCCCTCTCTTTCTCTACATCTCCAGCTCTCTCTTTCCCTCTCTTCTCTTTCTCTCTCTCTCTCCCTCTCTTTCTCTCCATCTCCAGCTCTCTCTTTCCCTCTCTTTCTCTCCATCTCCAGCACTCTCTTTCCCTCGCTTTCTCTCCATCTCCAGCTCTCTCTTTCCATCTCCAGCTCTCTCTTTCCATCTCTTTCTCTCCATCTCCACCTCTCTCTTTCCATCTCTTTCTATCCATCTCAAGCTCTCTCTTTCCATCACTTTCTCTCCATCTCCAGCTCTCTCTTTCCCTCTATTTTTCTCCATCTCCAGCTCTCTCTTTCCATCTCTTTCTCTTCTCTTCTTCACATTTTAACCTTTTCTCTTCTTGCCTTTAACTTATTCACATATTGTAATACTCCCTTTCTATCTGTCCCCGCCTCCCACCCCTCTCCCTTTTTCTCCCTCTCATCTTCCCTCCTCTCCAACCTTCCTCTTTCTCCCATCTTCTCTCCCTCTCTCACCCTTCCCCTCTCTCTCCGATATTCTCTCACTCTCCCTCGCCCCTCTCCTCTCTCTTCCATCTTTTCTCACTCTCTCTACCTCTTCCCCCTCCCTCTCCTTCCCACTTTCTCTCTCTCCCCCTCTTCTTTTCATCTTCTGTCTCTCTTTCCCCAATCTCCTCTCCCTCTCTTCCCCCTCTCTCTCTCTCCTGTCTTCTCCCTTTTTTCCCTTTCACCTTCACCTTTCATTCTTCCCCTCCCACCTTCTCTCCCCCCCCTCCATGCTCGCTCTCGCTCTCACTCACTCACTCACTCACTCTCACTCACTCTCTTTACTCTCACTCACTCTCTCACTCACTCACTCACTCTCTTTACTCACTCACTCACTCACTCACTCACTCACTCTCTTCACTCACTCACTCTTCACTCTCACTCACTCACTCTCTCACTCATCACTCACTCACTCTCTTCACTCACTCACTCACTCACTCTCTTCACTCACTCACTCACTCTCTTCACTCACTCACTCACTCTCTTCACTCACTCACTCACTCACTCTCTTCACTCACTCACTCACTCTCTTCACTCACTCACTCACTCACTCACTCACTTCTTCACTCACTTCACTCACTCACTCTCTTCACTCACTCACTCATTCTCTTCACTCACTCACTCACTCACTTCACTCACTCACTCACTCTCTTCACTCACTCACTCACTCACTCTCCACTCACTCACTCACTCACTCCACTCACTCACTCACTCACTCACTCACTCACTCACTCTCTTCACTCACTCACTCACTCACTCACTCACTCACTCACTCTCTTCACTCACTCACTCACTCACTCTCTTCACTCACTCACTCACTCACTCACTCACTCACTCACTCACTCACTCTCTCTCACTCCTCACTCATCTCACTCACTCACTCACTCACTCTCTCACTCACTCACTCACTCTTCTTCACTCACTCACTCACTCACTCACTCACTCTCTTCACTCACTTCACTCACTCACTCACTCACTCACTCTCTTCACTCACTTCACTCACTCACTCTCTTCACTCATTCACTCACTCACTTCTCTTCACTCACTCACTCCTCTCTTCACTCACTCACTCACTCTCTTCACTCACTCACTCACTCAACTCACTCTCACTTCACTCACTCACTCACTCACTCACTCACTCACTCACTCTTCTTCACTCACTCACTCACTCTCTCACTCACTCACTCACTCACTCACTCACTCTCTTCACTCACTCACTCACTCACTCACTCACTCACTCTCTTCACTCACTCACTCACTCACTCTCTTCACTCACTCACTCACTCTCACTCACTCACTCACTCTCACTCACTCTCTCACACTCACTCACTCTCACTCACTCTCTTCACTCACTCACTCACTCATCACTCTCTTCACTCACTCACTCACTCACTCACTCACTCACTTCACTCACTCACTTCACTCTCTTCACTCACTCACTCACTCACTCACTCTCTTCACTCACTCACTCACTCACTCACTCACTCACTCTCTTCACTCACTCACTCACTCTCTTCACTCACTCACTCACTCACTCACTCACTCACTCACTCACTCACTCACTCACTCACTCACTCACTTCACTTCACTCACTCTCTTCACTCACTCTCTTCACTCACTCACTCACTCACTCTCTTCACTCACTCACTCACTCTCTTCACTCACTCACTCACTCACTCACTCTCTTCACTCACTCACTCACTCTTCACTCACTCACTCACTCACTCACTCACTCACTCTCTTCACTCACTCCTCACTCACTCACTCACTCTCTCACTCACTCACTCACTCTCTTCACTCACTCTCTTCACTCACTCACTCTCTCACTCACTCACTCTCTTCACTCACTCACTCACTCACTCTTCACTCACTCTCTTCACTCACTCTCTTCACTCACTCACTCACTCACTCTCTCACTTCACTCACTCACTCACTCTCTTCACTCACTCACTCACTCACTCACTCACTCTCTTTCACTCACTCTTTCACTCACTCACTCACTCACTCTCTTCACTCACTCACTCACTCTCTTCACTCACTTCACTCACTCACTTCACTCTCTTCACTCACTCTCACTCACTCACTCTTTTCCTCACTCACTCACTCACTCTTCACTCACTCACTCACTCTCTTCACTCACTCACTCACTCTCACTCACTCACTCACTCACTCCACTCACTCACTCACTCACTCTCTTCACTCACTCACTCTCTTCACTCACTCTTTTCCTCACTCACTCACTCACTCTCTTCACTCACTCACTCACTCACTCACTCACTCACTCTCTCACTCACTCTCTTCACTCACTCACTTCACTCTCTTCACTCACTCTCTTCACTCACTCACTCACTCACTCACTCTCTCTCACTCACTCACTCACTCTCTTCACTCACTCTCTTCAACTCACTCACTCTTCACTCTCACTCACTCACTCTCTTCACACTCACTCTCTTCACTCACTCACTCACTCACTCTCTTCACTCACTCACTCACTCACTCACTCACTCTCTTCACTCACTCACTCACTCACTCACTCTCTTCACTCACTCACTCACTCACTCTCTCACTCACTCACTCACTCTCTTTTCACTCACTCACTCTCTTCACTCACCACTCACTCTCTTTCACTCACTCACTCACTCTCTCACTCCACTCACTCACTCACTCTTCACTCACTCACTCACTCTCTCACTCACTCTCTTCACTCCTCACTCTCACTCAACTCACTCACTCACTTCACTCTCACTCACTCACTCACTCTCTTCACTCTCACTCACTCACTCACTCACTCATCACTCACTCACTCACTCTCTTCACTCACTCTCACTCACTCAACTCACTCTCTCTCACTCACTCACTCTTCTCACTCAATCACTCACTCACTCTCTTACACTCACTCACTCATCTCTTCACTCACTCACTCACTCACTTCTCTTCACTCACCACTCACTCACTCTCTCACTCACTCACTCAACACTCACTCACTCACTCACTCTCTTCACTCACTCACTCACTCACTCACTCACTCACTCACTTCACTCACTTCTCTCTCACTCACTCACTCACTCACTCTCTTCACTCACTCACTCACTCACTCACTCACTCTCTTCACTCACTCACTCACTCACTCTCTTCACTCACACTCTCACTCACTCACTCTTCACTCACCACACTCACTCACTCACTCACTCACTCTCTCTTCACTCACTCACTCACTCTCTTCACTCACTCACTCACTCACTCAACTCACTCACTCTCACTCACTCACTCTCTCACTCACACTCACTCACTCACTCACTCACTCACACTCACTCACTCACTCACTCACTCACTCACTCACTCACTCACTCACTCACTCACTCACTCTCTTTACTCACTCACTCACTCTCCTTTCACTCACTCACTCACTCACTCTCTACTCACACTCACTCTCACTCACTCACTCACTCACTCTCTTCACTCACTCACTCACTCTCTCACTCACTCACTCACTCACTCACTTCACTCACTCTCTTCACTCACTCACTCACTCTCTTCACTCACACACTCACTCACTCTCACTCTCTTTCACTCACTCACTCACTCTCTTCACTCACACACTCACTCACTCACTCTCTTCACTCACTCACTCACTCTCTTCACTCACTCACTCACTCACACTCACTCACTCACTCTTCACTCACTCCAGCTCTCTCTCTCTTTCTCTCCATCTCCAGCGCTCTCTTTCCCACTCACTCACTCACTCTCTCTCTTCACTCTCACTCACTCACTCACTCACTCACCTGCGTCATCTTGTCGCTCTTGCCCTCCCAGGAGAGGCGCTCGTCGTACAGGGGCTCCTTGTTGGTGCCGACGTAGATGGGCTCCCACTTGTGGTACGGCGGCTGGCGCTTGCCCACGTGGAACACCGACATCCCCGGCCGTAGCGGCGCGGCGATCCACTCCTGGGGAGGGAAGGGGCGGTGAGGGGCTGTCTGTGCGAGGGCGAGGGCGCGCCGGGCTTGGCTTTGTGAAAGGGGAGGAAGAATAGAAAGAGAAAAAGGGAGGAAGAATAAAGAAGAGAAAAGGAGAGGAGAATAAAGAAGAAGAAAGGGAAGAATAAAGAAGCGAAAAGGAACAAAAGTAGGCACCTTAAACTTCCGCGCCTCTTTTTTTCACAATCGCAAGTGCCAACACTTACGAAACGCGAATCGAAAATGTCCAATCAGCCTGTATCTGTATAACCATATTATGATCCGAGTTTTGGTATTAGGTATTGCCACCCTCAACCATCACCCAATCCTAAAACCACACCCACCCTTCCCCCCACGCCCACCCCTCCCCTCCCATACACCCTCTCACCTTCGACATAGGCACGTTATGGCACTTGGCGCACACGTTCTTGTGGAAGGGGATGGCGTCGCCCTTCTTGAGCATGCGCTGCAGGTCGCCCTTGGTCTCGGGGGCCGTCACGTTGTCCCGCACCTCGAAGATGGAGAAGACGTACACGCGAGGGTTGGTGCTGTTGGAGACGTCGGGCTTCTTCAGCATCTTGAAGAATTCTGAAAGGAGGGGAGAGAGATGAGGAGGGAGAGATTATGTGAGATCGAGAGGGAGAGGGAGGAGAGGGAGAGGAGGGAGGGAGGAAGGGAGGGAGGAGGGAGGGAGGGAGGGAGGACAAACAAACAAACAAACAAACAAACAAACAAACAGACAGACAGACAGGAAGAATAAAGAAAAAAGCAGAGAAAATAAAACAAAACAAGACAAATGTAATAACAAAAAACCATGAACGACTCTCCCTCCCTAGTCTTCCCTCCTCCTTTACCACCCTTTCCCTCCACCTACCCCCTCTTCCCTTCCTCAAACCCCTAACCCCTTTCCCCCAACCCCCATTCCCCTCCCTCCTACCGCCTTCCTTCCCCCTACCCCATCTTTCCTCCCCTAACCCCCCTTTTTCCTCCCCTAACCCCCTTTCCTCCCCTAACCCCCTCTTTCTCCCCTCCCCCTCTTTCCTCCCCTACCCTCCTCTTCTCTCCCCCACCCTCCTCTTTTCTCCCCTCCCTCCTCTTTCTTCCCCTTACCACCCTCTTCTCTCCCCCTCCCCTCCTCTTCCTCCCCTTACCACCTCTTCCCCCTACCCCCTTTCCCTCCCCCTCCCCTCCCCTTCAAAAAATCTCCCCTCTCTACCTGGAATGAAATTGACGGACGGATAGAGCTCGACGTCGGAGGGCAGCACGAAGTACGTCTGCACGGCCTGCCTCGCCGTGTTCCTGGCCACGTTGACGGGGTACAGCAGCTTCTTCTTCTGGCGGTACGTGGTCACGTTGGTCCAGCGCGGAGGCTCCTGCGCGCAGTCCGTCTTGCGCCGCAGCAGCTCCTCCGTCGTCGGCACCTAAGGGACGGGAGGGGAGGGGGGGATGGATTTTTTTTTCCACGCGTGCAACACGTATACATGCGGACATATATGTATGTATCCACGCATGCACACAGAAACAGTTATAATATTGAAAATAATTCCTTATTTAATCAAATAAATAAAATACACAAATAACGCGAATAAAGTGGTAACAAAGATAATGAAAAAAACATCATCTAAAATAAATACATAAACAAAAAAACATGTAACGAAAACAACAACAATCAACAACCTCTCGAAAATAAAAAACAAAAAACAAAATAAATAAAATAAATAAATAAAAACTTAAAGAAGATATCCCCACAAACCACTGACCTTCTTGGGCGTGTGCGAGACGTGGAAAAAGAGGTGAAAGGTCACGTATTTCTTGATGCCTTCCGCCCAGCAGTCGCGCAGGTACAGGATGGTGTTGACGGTGTCGTTGAAGTCCGTCCCCGGGGCGTACACCGCCACGCTCACTGGGCCCTGGGGGAGGGGCGAGGTCAGTGGGGTGTTGGGAGGAGGGGGAGGGGGCGAGGTCAGTGGTGGTGTTGGGAGGAGGGGGTGATGATGGTGTGCGCAAGTTGAAGGTTATTTATCATTAATGGCATGTTAACATTCAGGATCTATTATCAATACTATTTTTATTATCAGTAGGCACTAGCTTTTTCCAAATATTATTACTATTACTGTTATTATCAGCTGTTTCATCACTCAGAGTACAACGGCCTACATATCATTACAAATTATTCTATCATTAGTGACTTTCATTATTATCATTATCATCCGGGACAAAGACTGAGATATAAAAATAGACAGATAGATATACTCTCTGTCTGTGTCTGTCTGTCCATATGTCTACTGTATATGTCTATATGTCTATCTCTATGCCTGTACTTATTTTTGTATTATATCTATGCCTATATCTGCCTCTACTAATGTCTAGGTCTATGGCTATGCCTAAGTCTGTGCAATTTCTAATGTCAAAGCCTATGCCTTTGCCCCTGACTCTATCTGCGCCCCAGGGGTGCGCGCCTGACCTGCCACCTGGAGGTGAGCGGCTCCAGGTTGTCGAGGAAGGTGAAGTCGCCGTGGGTGGTGTAAGTGATGGACTCGTCGCAGCGGAAGGCGAGGGCGGCGGGGACGTAGTTCTCCAGCACCCAGTAGTCGCCGCGCTGCTGGTAGAAGGGGCGCAGCGAGCGCGTCGAGCACTCGCGCAGGTCGCCGTACATCTTGCGCTCCTGCGAGTCCAGCGGCGGGTCGGGCGGCTCCGTCACGATCGGCTCCGCCACCAGCTGCTCCGTCACGCCCGCGCTCTCCTGCACCTCCCGAGGCGGCTCCTCCGGCTCGCCCCCTGCGGCTGCGGCAGACGGCGACGACGCCCCCGGGGCCGCGCCGCCGTCCGGGTGCGGCTCGTCGGCCACGCGCAGGGTCCTCCGCCCCCCGAGGGACATGTCGTGGAGCTCGGCGGGAGCGGCGGCGCCCTCGGGCAGCAGCTCGGGCGACAAGGGCGGTAGGTGGAGGGGCGCCGAACCCTGCTGCGCGAGCGGGGGCGCAGCGGGGCTCCCCGCGGCGAGTTGCGGCGGTGCCGCGACGCCCTCATCCGCGCCCTCCGCCGCGCCCGGCATGGGCAGGGCGGGCAGAGGCGGCGCCGAGCTCACGCCCCTGAGGGCGGAGGAGGAGGGCACGAGGCGCGTGGTGGGCGTGGTGGAGAGCCACGACAGGCACAGGTACAGCACGAGGACGGCGTTGAGGAACAGCGAGCCGCGCACCACCAGCGCCCGCGCCGACGCCATCATGCCCAGCGCGCCTGCGGGGAAGAGGGGGAAGTTTTAGCATGTACATCTGTGTATATATATGGATGCAAATGTGTTTTTATATGTATATATATGTATGTGTGTGTGTATGCTTTTCATGTTTTGTGTGTGTGCATGTCTATGTGCGTGTGTATGTGCGTGCGCGTGTGTCAATGAGCGAAATGGAAGCTCCTCAGGCAAGGGAGACGAGCAGCCGAATTCCCGGCGCCCGCGCCGCCGCCGGCGGTCCGCTCCCCGCCGAGCGCCATTCCAGATACACACATGCAAGCCAGCAAACGTTCATATGCGCGCGTACATACACATATATGCACATACACATGCGTGCGTCCAAAACCACAAATGTTGTGCAACACATACCCTGCACGCTCTACAAGCTGAGTGTAACGAGAGCCTGCGCGGGCTGATACACAGTATGTATACATGACACTTCTATGACGTACATGAAAACGTAACTAAGGCTAAAGGAGCACATGGAAGACAAACTGTAAATACTGTACAGGATTTCTAGCGTCGTATCCACGAAACGTCGTAAGTCGAGGCCGTCGTAAACCGAGAACACCCCCAGCTGTTGCTCCTCCAAATCGTGAATTCAAGACAGCGGACTCTGGTCAGAATTACCACTATTGCATGCGAATGCGATGATGGAGCCTAGACTTCGGGTTAAGATATCTGTAACCAATTTATTAATCTAAAAACGACTGCACTTCAGTTATTTTTTTGGCAAATTATATTACTTGCATTACGATTTGGTGTAAATATTAACAATACCTACAGATAATCAGTGACGATTAGCTAATCGACGCCGAAATCGTGGCTCTGGCGTCGCATTCGTATCATTCGCGGTAAATGGTGGGGACGCAGCCCTTCTTCCCCGGAACGAGAGGCTATCGGCCGGTTTCAAATTGTGAAGCGCGACCCAATGGATATTTCATTAAGGACTCGGGGAACAGAATCTGGTATACTACCTTTGCTTGAGGAACTTAATATCTGTAGAAAGACATGTTTTAGGAACTCCGTGAAGTTGGAAGACTTACCCAAGAGCAGAAAATACCAAATGATTGACGTGTGTTAATGTAGACAAACTTTAGGGTATCAATCATCCATGTTAATGTTGCCCAACCTACAGCCACACTGACGCTCTCGAGAGTACCGATAAAAACCAAGAGCCCGCTGTACAATAATCATGGATATATTCTTCGACAAAACAGATTCGATAGAAAGTAAACGTGGAAGCCACCATCAGTTATCGAAAGAAAAAATGACCTCATAAAAATTCATTTACAATCAGGAGTTATTCATAAGACAAATGTCGGAGGTGACCACAGAATGGCTGGAAGCGAAATGGAACTGCACCTCAGGAAGAAGAGGAAAACATTGATTCGAGAGCCTCTCTATCTTATCAAAGACTAATAAGTCTTTGCTGTCTTATCGAGCAAGGCAATACCAGAGCGACAGGGTGCTTATGTACATACGTACATAAGCACCGAAGTCACTCACATATGCTAATGTAGTATGTATACATGTATTAAAGTCATAATGCAAAACCTAAGACACTTCTATGACGTACATGAAAACATAACAAGGGCTAAAGGAGCACATGGAAGACAAACTGTAAATACTGTACAGGATTTCTAGCGTCTTGTCCACGAAACGTCGTAAGTCGAGACCGTCGTAAACTGAGAACCCCCTGTAAGCGATTTGAATTTTAAAATATCAACGCTTTCTGAACGGTTATTTTTAACGAACAGAAAACAACTCAAGGTCCCTCCTTAAAGAGTACTCCACTCGTGACTACGCGTTTACTGCTGGTTTCGAGGAAGAGGAGTAGACGAATAAAAAATAAATAAATAAATATGGATCTAACGAGTGCATCGAAATGTGCGAAAGACCGTGCTACTTGTACGTGCACGCATGTACACAGTTGTGAACATACAAATACGTGTCCATATAGTCAAAGTCGTAAGTTATAGAAATTATGCATCGCTTGGCCTCTGCTGACCAGAGAACTATGAATATAAATGTACGCATGTGTACATGTGCACATGTGCCCACAGGTAGGCCTATACACCCCTGCACTCTAATATTCGCACGTTTACACAAATATACTCACGTCTATACATGCGTGTATGGATTTGCACGTATATGTACACATACACATATACATTGCGGAATCCACAGCGAATTTCTGCGGTCACGACTTGTTTAGATGCCGCGACTCCACTGGACAGAGCCGATGGTTCTTTTCGCAGAGTGAATACCGCGGATGGGGTTGGTTCCAGCCCACAGAAAATCGCTGGATTCCAGAGAAATTTATGGGTAGTCTGACCGTACCCTTAGTGGAGGATTTTGTAGTCTGACCGTACCCTTAGTGGAGGATTTTGTGCTTCGAAGATGGATTCCACAATTTCTTATAACATACGACTGTAATAATCATATCTTTGTGCAACAAAATGTGTTTGAAAGAGAAATGATAGTTTCTAAGGTAATGAGATAATATAGATTCATACATAAAAGGTCTAAATAAGTGCTTACACGGACCTTGGCACGAAAACCGGCCGGCAGCGGATTCGTGACGAGCCACATCCAGAATTTCACCAGAACAGGAGAGTAAATAAAATAATAATAAAAAAAAGAAAGAAAGAAAGAAACGAAACAAAATCTTATTGCAGCTGTTTTTCTCTTCATCTTTGTGTACATGTTCCTGTGTTTGTGTACAGGATGCCTTTGTCTATGGCGCTTAGTCGGCCACTCCTCAAATCGCAGCAGTATCACAAGCTATTCGAAAACAAAGGGGAGAGGTTTAGTGTAAAATGCTGGAAGATATAACGCGAATATGAGATAGCGAAATTCAAGCTCCATGCACAAACCGACAAAAGAAAACTATTAAAAAGGGTTTTTAGGAAGGGAGACACAATCCTATCGTGTGTGTGTGTGTGTGTGTGTGTGTGTGTGTGTGTGTGTGTGTGTGTGTGTGTGTGTGTGTGTGGTGTGTGTGTGTGTGTGTGTGTGTGTTGATGGGATTGTGTCTCCCTTCCTAAAACCCTTATCCTTATCCTTATCATACGAGTTCATTCGGAAACAAAAAAATGACGGAAAAACTGATTGTGTGATCTGAATAATCTCCGTCTTGATCTATACATCGAGATTTTTTTTTTATTGATATATTAGATGAAAAATGTTAATGAAAACGATAGTTGATGTTTTAGAGTATTTCTACATTCAATGTACATAAAATATTTCTTTAAAATAACGTGATATGTATGAGAATGCGCGTGATTCCCGGGACGTCACTCAGATGCCGCCATATTTGTTTACATGGGCACTATGCTGCCTTCGTGGTGCGACAGGGTCAGTCAGCCCACTGACATGCGGAAAGATCCTATAGAAACGCAAAAAATGACGGAAAAAGTGCTAGCGCGACAGGGCCTTAACTGAACCGCGAGACTTAAAGTAATGTTTCAGTGACCAAGTCCCTCGGCCAGCGAAGGGTTCCAGCAGAGCAGCAACTGCTATCTGTAGCTTCGTTACCAGCACTAACTCTCTTCTTTCTCTCTTTTTTTTAAAGCAAGATTGCACATTTATAATTAAAACGTGATTTTTTTTTCTATTTCAAACGATGAAAAGAAACTTTCAGAAGAACAAAGAAAAGAAAATTGGGCTAAGAATCTACAGGACCCTGAGTCGTTAACCATCAGCTGATTTTAAATAGGGGGCGGGGCCAATGAGGCAAGTAAGCGTATTGCAATTGCCAAGTTGATTTTGTGAGGGGGGGGTAATGATGAAGATTTTCCGAACTGATTTAGTTTTCATTTGAAATCATTCATTCAGTGGTGCCTACATTTAATTCTCTCTCTTACTCACACTGTCACTTATTCGTCCTTCCACTAAACTGGTAATTACATCTTCCATTCGTTCATTCTCGCTCTTACTTTCTCATTCTGTGAATTACCCATTCTTTATTACACATCCTTCTTCATTCACTCACTCACCCACCTACCCACTCACCTACCCAATACACCCATCCACCCAGTCACTCACCTACTCATTTACTCACTTACCCACTCATTTACTCATCCAGTCACCCACTCACTAGCTCATTAACTCACTCACCAACCCACCCACTCACTCACTCACTCACCCACCCACCCACTTACTCATCCACCTACTAACTCAATAATTCACTCACCCACCCACCCTTTCTCTCACACTCATTCACTCACCCACTCATTCACTCACCCACCCACCCACCCACCCACCACCCTCTTACTCA